ACAAAGCATTTGGAAATGGTCTGCCAGGGGATTTCATAACCATTTTCCAGTACATCCCAACTCCTGCCGATACCAAGTTAAAGCGTCTGCTGAAGCCCTTCAGGCAAATGTTCCAAGAGGAGTTCCAGAGACACCGTGACACCTTTGACCCGGGTAATATCACATCAGATCAAAATTCAACAAACTGATACTTGTTTTACTGTTGTTTCCTATAAATAATCAAACGACTGAGTGGGGTTTTGCAAACGCTACATAAGCTTCCTAAAACTCCTGTCAAAACCTCTTTTTCATCAAAGAAAGTGGCTTTCCGGGCTTTGGGACCGGCCAGTGTTTTTCCTAAAGTGGAAGTGGATTCAGCTAGCATGCTTTGCTAGACAGCTACATACACATAACTGTAGCAATTGACAGTGCATCAACATTTGCATGCCCTAGTTTCCGTGGGTGTTGCATCATGGAGGAATTATTCCTCCATGGTTGCACAGAATGCTTCGGGTAACGTGTCCGAAATTTGGGCTTCAAGATCTACGGCTGGGTCTATTGTCTCCGCGTCTCTGCATGTTTTCAATGGAGTTTAGACCTAGACCAAGCTCTAGCCAACAGATTCGGATGTGCTGTATTATTAACGTGGCCAGACCCATATACCACGTGCAGATTGGAATCAGTGTTATGCACAGACAGGCTAGCGTCTATGTTGCCAGAAGAGTAGAGTCGGATGTTAATTAATGCTTTCAGGTTACACGCATGCGTCAAAGAATTCGGAAGTTGTTTGTGTGCTGTTTTTGGCCAGCATCATTTTGTGGATGTCCTGTTTGTAACGACATATGTCAACACAATTTCGTGTCCATCCGTAGAGAATATCCGTGACTTCTTTGACTCGTTGTTGCTGACCCAGAAGGAGAACATTGAAGCTGGAGAGGAAGGAGCTGATCGTCTGACAGATACGCACCTCATCCAAACTGTCATGGACATTTTTGGAGGTATACTCAAGAGAACTCAGCAAATTCAGGTTTCCTAAGATCTTCTCTTCTCCCAGCCGATACCATCTTCAACAGTCTTTTGAAACTTGGCTCGAGTTTAAGAGCATCCATTATGAGCAGAAGTGTGAGAATGAAATTCAACTCAGTGTAGGGTATCGTTATTATTGTTTTTCATGGTTCACTCTCTAACACGTCAGCTAATTCATCAGTGGGAAGGTCTTCGGCTTACCTGTCCACTGTCAAAGTGAATATGTTATGAGAATAGTGTGGTCGACTCCTATAAAACTAATGTTTAATACCCACGAAACATGAATAAATGCATTGTGACGTATCTGAGAAAATGTCAGAGAATCTTTTTTTCCGTCTCACAGCGGGAACAGAAACCACCATTCTCACCCTCCACTGGGGCGTACTCCTCATGGCCGAGTATCCTGAAATCCAGAAAAAGGTTGCAATGGAAATCGATGAGGTCATAGGTCATGACAGGATGCCCTCATTGACCGACAGGGGCTCTTTGCCGTTCACTGAAGCCACCCTTCTGGAGATATTCCGGTATGGTACCGTGGCACCACTTGGCGTTCCGCATTCTGTGATGGAAGACACAACACTGGGTATGTACTGCCTATCTAGTTTATCCATTAAGAGCCAAAATAAATGAAGATCTGGGCCGTACTACTAAAAACAAATTGACATCATAGTGAATTTCTATTATGGTCATGGTCGTGTAGTCGATATCAAATAGTTATTACTGTGACAATTCAGAAATGTTAAAATAATAAATGCACTTTGTATCTCAAGGATCTTATATGGTGTTCTAAAAATGCACGTTTCGTCGAGCTGTTGCGTCAGGGTGTCGTGCCATCACGTCATGCCTTGGCCTGTTTCCTCAATACTATTGAAAATCCATTGCAGCGTGTCGCGTTGTGCCGTCGCCCTTTGCGTCCTATTGCAATGTCTGAATCGGTACTGAGAAAACAGGCGACGGCACGGCGTCACCGACGACGCCACGACGCGATGCACATCGTCATCTTCAGAACACATACAAGGATGCAATTATGACAAGACAGAACCGAAGTTCAGTAAATAAACGCACAGGGTAGGCCTATTGGGTCGAATGAGATGCTTTCCGACGTCTCCGAAGACAAAAAGTACATGTTGGCAGCAGAAACAAAGCACTGCAAATTCCACACCCTTGTCAAGTCGTTAAGAACGTTACATATCCCTCTTTCTTTGTTCCTGGTCTGTCAGTGTTCAAAACAAATGTGGCAAGAAACTTAACATAACAATGTCAAGACCGTTTGCCAATAAGGTATTTCTGGACTCAGCCGTGGCCAAATAGATTCAAGTGTGTCACAATTAAAGCAGGCTTCCATGAACCTGCTGAAGTCTTTTTGCTTCCTCATCCAGGTGAATACAAACTCCCGAAGGATACCACTGTGATAATCAACCACCTCGCCCTTCACTTCAGTGCAACCGAGTGGGAGGAGCCGAAAAAGTTCAAACCAGGTAACATATAGGAATTGACCCTTAAAGAGCCAGGGGCGGAATCTACCCCAACATTTCGCCCAGTATCGTCAAAGTAGGTTTTTTTTTTACGATCTGGGCCTTTGGGAATTCTTAAGTAGCTGTTTGCAGTCATTCTGACACCAATTTTGTAGCACCCATTTTTCCGAGACAGGTCAGCCAAAAATGTATACTTCCCCCCGCCGAGTTCAGTGCACGAAAGCTGATAGACTTGAACTTCGACTGAATGCATACGGATGTGAGACCGGTGGCTGGAGCATAAAATGGCTTAATTGGCTTGGGTTGCTAGTTATGATGGGGTGATAAGGGGTGGATACCGGATGTTGCCTGGGTTGATGGTTTGGGTGGGGTTGGGGTGGCATCTTCGCCTCTTTCACGCTTCACCAATTCCACACCACCAAGTCGAGCTCTCCATTTTACTTGGCATCTCTCCCAAGGACGACCAGAGCATCCTGGTCAAAACGTCGAGTTCACATGCACTCACCTGCTCTCAGAACCACTACTCTTTTAGAATTGATAGATTCCACATGTGTACCCGCGACCTTTCTCTCGGTCTAGCCTCCACAGTACAAAGTTTTACGTTTTACCTAACCTATGTTCTGAAAACCAGAAACTCTAAATATGCTGTCTTGTTCCAATATTTAGAACGTTTCCTAAACGACAACGGTCAGCTCCCTGCCAGGCTTCCAGAGAGCCTCCTACCTTTCAGCACTGGGCGCCGTGTCTGCCTCGGCGAGGACTTCGCTAAGAAGGAAGTCTTTCTGCTCTTCACCTGGCTCTTCAGCCGGTATACCTTCTACAAAGTACCAGGCAAAGAGAAGGAAACTGTACTGAAGTTGAATGACGCACTTGGCTTTGCTCACCAGCCCCTCGATGATATCGAGGTCTGCGTTAAAACACGACTATAATTCAAATGGCTTTGAGAAAAATTGTTCAGAACAGTAGTGCACTTAGTCAAAGTTTTGGACCAAAGACGGCTTTAACAATCTTGAGTAGGGTTCTTTTATGATTACAACATCATTTGCTGATAAGGCTAACGTACGAATTCACCACCCCCACTATCAGTTGTGTATCATGGAAGGTGGCACATAACATCTCTCTTAAAGGAGTCTTTAGAAATTCACCTTCAAGTGTGTCCCAATCAGAAGTGTTCCGAGTCAGGATTTAGAATTCAACCCCTTTCGTAGGGAAGTATCAAATTACTGCGTTGTTGATTCTCCTATACCTTGCATCACATTGACAGGTACTTCCACATTATCTACCAACTTAGAGCCTAAAATAGCTTGGAGTGAGCCGTAACCATGTACCCAATAAAGTTGTGAAGGTCATGCTGGAATACCCTTTATGACACATTCAAGCTGGGAGTTATAGTTAGATATTTTTGTCGAAATGGTTACACTGGTGAACTGGCAAATATGCATCTATTGGCAGTTTCAAAATTTTTTACTAGTGCGTAAACCTTTAGCTGTCATTCAAAGATTCAGGCCCCAAAAAACTTGATTCACTAGCATTATCTCAGCAGGAAAGGGTAAGCACCCGCAACGGTCCTTCATTGTAAACTTGCTGTTAACCGAGCTGTTTCAAGTATCAGCCAATTCAAAAACCTGAGTCAGAAATATTGAATTAGGGTCAAGAGTTGCCTAAATCTCTAATGAAGTGTAAGAATCAGCAACATGGTCAAGTTCCAATATTTTGGTAAAGTTGTTTTGAAAATACTGCTGAAAGTTCGAATCAAAATTTCTCTGATCCATTTTCAGTACATAGGTGTGGCAAGCTTGTGTGATGTATGGCCTTGAGATATCCTTCACATTTGAAACAGAAACTTTGACTCACTCAGGGGATCTTCGAGCTTCGACATTACATGCGTAAACGGTCATTCCATCCGTCATCCCAGTGTGTAAAAAATAGATGCTGATCTCTCGATCGTTTTGAAGTTCATGATTCTTCTTCTATTTTAGCTTATACCGTAGTATAGAATTTGAACAGGTTGACATGGTAGTTCTAATTAGTAGAAAAAGAGTAACCCTTTTTGGAAACTACTTCATTTGTTCTATTCCACAAACGTAATGATCTAAAGACTTTTTATACCTGCTTTGTAGTATAACATAATAATAATTGCATCTGTATTGTGGTAAATACCTTCAAATAAAGCAGTAGCTTTTCAAAAGGTAAACATCACAGATTGGGGAGATCTAGCATTCAGAAAATGCCGGGGGCGGTGGGGTTGATCAGCGTACTGAAGGGGTGCCCTAAACGGGGGTCCAAAAGAATCATACACCGTTCCTTATGTCCGAGGAGCTGTGATCACATCAGAACTGTACACAGAACATTGCGACGCTCAGGAATCAGTCATCCGGTCGGCATGATTTTTTTCCGAGTGGTCCGCTGTGACGTTGTCTTCAGGACATCAACCCTAACAGTCCCAAATCCTCCTATATTTCAATATGATTTTACATACACCCTAGGGAGTTAGAGGTAAACATACATTCAAATCGCTATTTGAACAAGATGGCCAAATATAGAACTCAACCACGAGACCATTTCCGATTTGAAGGGGAAATTTCTCTTTTCTTTCCAAATGTTAGAAAACATTATCATCATTATTGAAATCCCCGATTCTCACTTGACCCATAAGCCGGGCGCATCATCGTTGGACAGTTTAATGACCATTTTGGAGGTGAATTCGGAGGATTTTGATTCAGGGTACGCCTAGGCTACTAAATGAATCAATGAAAGCAACAGCCTATGGAAGGCATACTTGGACCCTACTTGCCCGACCCTGTACTCTGAAAGTTACAAAGGGCAATTTGTAGGGTCCAAGTTACTCGCATTAACATATTGCCATGAAGGAAGACGAAGACAGGTCTTTCCGTCTTCTCCATTTTGTTTCCACAACTGTTCCCTTTGTCCTCAGCAGTAAATTTTCAATCAGCTGCAGAGAACTTGACTTTGCCAAATTTGCCCAAACTTCCTTGCAAACTTAAAATCAAGTTTTGTGGCTCTTACCATGCGCGTCGAAAGAGGTCGGAGGTCGAGTTTTATAGACTGGTACATGGTGCACGGAAACCGCAATTGGAAACTAACCTCGTTCCCATGGGTGAGATCTTGTCACACCATGTGGTTGTCACCATGCCTTGCGCGATCAAGTTAGTGAAGGAACGCGCACGCAGCCCATCCCCATGGAGTCGAGGTTGACGGGAAACTGTGCACTGATTGCATGTTCGTGTGGACATGTAATGTACGTCACGCAAGTCTCCTCTTTGGTGTCGTAATTACGGAAGCATCTAGCAAAATGTGACGACCTGCCACCACTGTACCAGGAGTGGAGGAGGTTTTGTCTGTGATTTCCAAACAACGCAGGTGGGAACTGAAAAAATGGAAGTCAGTGCAGACGTTTACCTGAATTCGACCACGCTCTTGGTGGCTGTAGGAACCTTGGTTGCCTACGCACTGTACAGAAGCACCAAACGGCCCTCAGGCTTCCCACCCGGGCCAACTGCACTACCGCTTGTCGGAAATATTCCTCGTGAGTTCCTCAGGCTATCTTTTTAACGCCTCATAATACATGTAGATGGCTTGGATATGTCAGGAGTGTTCCGGATTTCAGGGTTTCTATTTCAAGATTTTTTTGAATTTCAGGAGTTTTCAAACAATTTCTTTAAAAATTCGAAAGCTTTATAATTACAGCATCTATCAGTAACTTATAAGGTTTTTTACATTGAAGTTGATAGATAGCCCTATTCCAACATATGGAATGGGTATTTCAGGGAGTGCCTTTAAGCAGGCACAAATGTATACCATAGATCCTATAGTACTCTGGGGCCCTTACGTTGAAACCTCTTGCGATTATTTCATTTATTTGTATTCAATCTCCTTTCCCCCTGATGTAAGTCATTTGCCAATTGTGTGTCAATCAGGCACTGTCCTAACATTATACGTCATCAGATGCACATCTACCATAGTAGTCCCACCCCGGCTTCCCTATTGAAGATGAAGACCATGAAATAGCAGCCCGCCCCCCCCAAGTGCTCGAAAAATGAATTGTATCTTCAGTTTAAATTTCAGTTGTCCTTTTTTCCATTTCCAGAGTTTTATTTTGCAAAATCCACCCTACAAGTCTTCAAAGATCTGTGGCAAAAATACGGAGCAGTGTACTCCTTGAAGTTTGCCAGCACCAATATTGTCGTTCTGAACACTATTGATGTGGTCAAAGAGGCATTTATCAAGAAAGCCACAGTGTTTGCTGGACGTCCTGAGTCATACTCAAGTTAGTCCATTGGGAAAAAATCTGTCGAAACTCCATGCAGTAGTTTTAAGTTTCTTATTTAGTTATCCACCAAAATGTAAAGACTTTGAAAAAGTTATATTTAGTACATGTATATATTCTTGGTTGAAAAAAAAACATTATGGGTAGAATTTCTCAAATTTGCATATTATTCCAGGATTGCCCAACATTTTATGTGGTGAGGGACAGAAAAGGTGGAGAAAATCGTGAAGAATAGAGCCTGAAAATTGACCCCTGATGGCGCCTCTGGAACCCTTGGATAGGAAAAATAATATGCGAAAATTTTAGAATTTGTAACATTTTTTGTTCAGTTACTTCTTTAAAAATCTGACTCAGAAAAAGGTCATTGGAAAATATTTGCAAGTATATCAATTTATAGAAACTGAAAACTTTAAATCACCTGACCTAAAAGAGAAACATCCAGCCAAAAGCTGACCCATCACTTCCAAAAATCTAAAATACTTGAAGAACAGTGCAATGAGGCAGTCTTGTATGCAGATGAACATTTAGGTTAAAAATATTATGGTGGTCCGTCGGTAAAAGCCGAAATAAAAACAGATTGAAATATTTTACATAGCTTTGAAATTTATAGATAATAAACTTAAAGCAGTATTCTACTTTAATTTCTAAAGATTGTAATCCTTTATCTAACCTTTGCTGATCACAACTTCATGATGTCAACTCGACGAAATCCGAACCCATTAGACGGCAGGTAGGTTAATCTTTACAACGTTGTACAATCTCGTTTTCACGTAAGCACCGGCAGTGAAAACAAACGTGTATGAACATAGAGACCTAGGTACGATATTGCCGGACGTTAAAGGTTGTTAAGAAAATTTGTTTTTTACCCATCTCCTGGTGACCTTTCCTAAATATTACTTGAGGAAGACAAAGGTAAAATTCCAACATTGGTGTTTCATTGGGAGGTTTAGTGATAGGAATTATTCTTCCGAAAATTATCGAACGTAATAGGACGGCCCACTGTAAAAATTCCCATAGGAGGGCGGTGCGAGACGTTTTACTTTCAGGCTCTATCGTAGGCCTAGTATGATTATTATTTTAATTAGTGTTTGGGAATTAGGAAGGTCATTGTTTTATATTGAACACAGAAGACGTCAACTAGTCAATCCCTCAAGCATTGATTTTTTTTTCCAATATGGAAATTACAATCTAGTTTGAGACTTTATGATATTTTATTTTTCTTATGGTTATGCAACATCTTGTGCTTTATTTCTGTGATTCTAGTTGGATTGTTCACTGACGGATTCAAGGACATTGCCTTCTCAACATATGGCCCTCAATGGCGTTACCAACGCAAACTCGGCCACACTGCGATCAGGTATTACTGAGAATTTGTGGGGAACGAGGTCTGTCAGTCCATATCTCTATAGACCTTTTTCATGTGATGTCACAATCGTGCTGGACCGCTATGTGTTGTGATGGTAATCTACTTATTCAAGATAAACTACTCAAGCGCGCAGCATTGGCACGTGTGCTTCCACGGCCACACGGTTGAAGCTGCCCGTAGGATTATGCAATCACCGTGGCTAGGAGGGTACACACGTGGTATTGTTACATTTAGTGCAATATAGTCACGTGGGTGAAAAAGGTCTATAAGTTTGACTTTCACACAGTGGAATAAACTTTATATGTGAAGATAATGCTACTGTTTTTGAAACATAATTCACAGCTGCAGAAAAATTTACGGAAAACCGAATAAATTATAAAGTAGTGGTATTCAAGACAATAGGCTATAGGAAAAATTACTGCATCATAGTACAAATAATTTTGTTTTAAATGATGTTATTCCGTGACATGGTGGTCTTCATAATTTTGAGAAATGAGAATGTACACGTATGTAATAAGTGAATTGGTCGTTGCTTCCTTTGTTATGAAACGGAATATGTCAAATAGCATTACAAAAGAATTCACCCTGATTTCTCAATTTATAAAAGGGTGAAAGGCAAGTGAACTTTCAAATTCGCTGAATTCTACACATAACTTTACCTCTTGCAAAATTGGGAACACTCTCAATGGCAGGCACTTCGCACAGAAGGAGCGTTTGGAGCCACTTGTTTTCAGTGTCACCCAGGAATTGCCAAAATTCTTGATGAAATGGGAGACAAGCCATTTGCTCCCAAATGGACGATTGGCCGGATAGTGTTCAATGTCTTGGCTACCATGTGCTTTGGCAAAACGTGAGTAAATGTATTTCTGGTAATTTACAGCGTCAACAGCATAAACAGAGATCATACAATGTCATAACAGTCATATGTTACTGTCATGTGACCATAAGCACAGCCATCAACAAATGCTCATTTTTATTCTGTACATTGTGAAGTTGCTACCAACTTTAAGGTTTAATTCTGAATCACATCTTGGCGTTGATCAGGTACGAATTCAACGATCCAGACTTACTGAACTGGATTGATCTCAACACTGAAATCACCGAAGCTTTTGGTAGTGGTCTACCTGGGGATTTCATGACCATTTTCCAGTACATCCCAACTCCTGGTGATACAAAGCTCAGACGTCTCCTGAAGCGCTTAAAGCAAATGTACCAAGAGGAGCTTCAGAGACACCGTCAAACCTTTGACCCCGGTAAAAGTTCACCAGATCGAAGAAAACAGGCTTGCAGTTAGCTTGTAAATGAGTTTCTCGTTTCATTTCTTGAGTCTGGTTTTATTTTAAACACTGGATTGTTACATTGTGTTGTTCTTCATATATACTATGATCTTTGTACAAACATCCTGGTCAGCTGTCAAAATGTTGTTTTCATCGAAGAAAATTACTATCCAGGCTTTGAGTTTGTCTATTTTTTACCTCAAATAGAAATGATCTCAGACACCATGTCCCACTTGCCGGCCGTACACATTTTAATTGGTAGCATGCTCAACATTTGTGCACCTTGGTTCTCTTGGATATTCTGCAGCATATGCACAATTACTGGTAACATTCATTTTATGTGCCAGGACCTATTGTACAAAATGGGTTTATGTGAATGCATAGTCAGGTTGGCAGTGATTCTTTCCTCGCCTTCCACTTCTGCGGTACGGGTTCGATTCCCAGCTCCGTCAACATATGGATTGGGTTTTCAGTCCCTATCTGTTCATGATTCCGTGGGTTTTACCCGTATTCCTCTTGGGTTTCCTCCCACCACTAAAACTGGACCTGCTTCTCATTTTCTCTACAGGTTTCTTCAGGCTTGCAAGCTACAGTGCCCAAGGCACTTTTGAGGAATCCTTGGTGTCATTACCAGAAATAAATAATAATAATTTGTGTTGCCGGCAGAGTAGAGTTTATGTGAATGTTAAGGTTACATGCACTTGTCAAGTAAAGAAGCTGGTTACATGTGCTGTCTTCTCTCTATGTTTTAAACGTCATCTTATGGATATTGTGTGTGTAAGCAAACCACACATTTTTCATCTGTAGAAAACATCCGTGACTTTGTGGACTCCTTACTGCTGACCCAGAAGGAGAACATTGAAGCCGGAGAGGAGGGAGCCGACCGTCTGACAGACACGCACCTGGTCCAGACGGTGATGGACATTTTTGGAGGTACATGGTTAAATCCATAAAGAGCCAGGTTTTTTATTACAACCCCCCCTTCCTCTTCAAGATCTCAGCCTCTACACTCATTTTGAATCTTAGAATGGTTGTAAAGGCAACCATCATGAGTGTGTATGTGAAGTTGCAGTTCAACCTAGTGTAAAGTTTATGTTGTTAGAGTCTTTCATAATTCACTCCGTCACACAATTTTTGGCTGACCTGTTATTGTAATGTTGACATTTCATGACAGTGATGAAAATAGTATGTTCAATGTTTCATAAATCTAGCGTTGAAATGACTATAAGGCATCATTGAAAAAACGCCTAGAGTCTCTGCATGTTGAAAAATAATAAAATTCATTGCAATTAAATCAGAGAGATGGTGACAAGGAGGCAGATTCTAACCTGCTCTCAACTCCCTTGAAATAAATCCTGATCCAGCTGTCATTCATCATTTTAATGAGAAATGCAGTTGAGCACATCTTAGGCCTAATCCATCTTTTTCCGTCTCACAGCAGGAACAGGAACTACCACAGTCACCCTCCACTGGGCTGTCCTCCTCATGACTGAGTATCCCCAAATCCAGGAAAAGGTTGCCATGGAAATTGATGAGATCATAGGTCATGATAGAATGCCCTCACTGACCGACAGGGGTTCTTTGCCGTTCACTGAAGCCACCCTCCTTGAGATTTTCCGGTATGGTACGGTGGCACCAGTGGGCGTTCTGCATTCTGTGATGGAAGACACAACACTGTGTATGTATTGCCTATCCACTCAATGCATGGAGACCCAAACGACTATCAAGACAACATACTAGGAGAGTGAATAACATGGACGTCATATTAAATCCTCAATATGCATGTGGGTCATGTGGCCAGGCCCATTCGACTCCACTGTCATTGCCGTATCCACGACAGGTGTGACAATGCCAAATTGTTTTACCAGGAAAAGGCGCTTTTTAATCTCAAATTTCGGTAAATATAATGGAGATGAAGTGCATGAATTAGGATTAGAATATGAAATGGGTCTTTGGGCAAATGGGGCTGTGGAACACTCTCCCTCCAAGGGATGTGTCCCCTGCCCCCCCCCAAAAAAAAGAAAGCAAAGAAAATGTAGACATACGAAACATTTTGAAAGCAAAACACCAAAAATTCTACACACTTGCCATTCAGATTATGCCATAAAACCCCTCTTCCGTGGTTCATGGTAATGTCGCAAGAAACTCCAATTAGAAGTCACTGTTATGTGAACAATAACACAGTAAAGTCAGGAACAATTCCCACCAAGCCACTTGAAAACTCACACTCCTCGCCCATACTACAGTCAAGTACTTGACCGTTAAAAGCAGGCTGCCGTGATCCTCCTGAAGTCTTTTTCTTCCTCATCCAGGTGGATACAAACTCCCAAAGGATACCACTGTGATGATCAACCATATGGCTCTTCACTTCAGCCCAGTTGAGTGGGAAGAGCCGGAAAGTTTAAACCAGGTAAGGAGCACAAGAGTAAGTCTTTGCACATGTCTTGCTCATATTTTATATCAGAGCAGCAGCACCACACTACATTTTCGTAATCACTTCATTTTTAGCTACTGCAATTCAAGTCTAGTCATGAGTCATTTCCCCACAAGTCAAGGTCTCGGGTCGATTTTTCTCGAGTCAAGTCGTGTTTTGAGTCTTTTCTTTCCCCAACTTATAGTCACAAAATCATTCGTTCTTCCCTCTCCCCTTTTTTTTCAAGCCCGTCTGGAGTCATAATGTACATGGTACTTCAGTGTTTTCTCTAATGCCCTTTTTTGGAACCTGTTACATTTTTAAATATTGTCTGATACATCTTTTCTTTCAATTTTAGAGCGTTTTCTGAACGAAGACGGTGAGCTCCCTGTCAAGCTCCCAGAGAGCCTCATCCCTTTTGGGATTGGACGCCGTGTCTGCCTCGGTGAAGACTTTGCTAAGAAGGAAGTCTTTCTGCTCTTCACCTGGCTCTGTAGCCGGTACACTTTCTACAAAGTACCAGGCAAAGAGGAGGAAACCGTGCTGAGATTGAACAAGGAAGTGACGCTTGCTTACCAGCTCTATGATGATATCGAGGTCTGCGTTAAAAAACGATTCTAATTCAAATCACCTTGTAAAAATAGGTACAGTCGTGCCTTCAAACGTTTGAGTGGTTTTCACCGTCTGGAGTCGGATTTTAATTACAAGCCTCGCTGATAGAGTAAATGATAAGTCATTAAGTGTGTCGAAAATCCAAGTTGATCCCCGACTGTTGGAGTTCATGCTTTTATGCTTTGGGCTTTCCAGTCAGTTTAGGTGTCGAAGTTGAAAATGTCAGACACAGAAATTAGAATCGAAGAAATTAGTAAATGCTGGTTGCAAAAGATTGGAAATATAGGCCTACTAGTTGGTTTTTATGCAACAAACGTAATTACCAATGAAGAGTACATGTTGTTTTGTTCTTTAAAAAAATTTATATTTGTGTTGGAGTAAAGTGCTTTGAGATAGGGCAGTAAAGTGGTATTTTCAAACCGTAGAACTCACACAGTACCTGCATATAAAGTATACCAAACAATTCGTGTTACATACATGTACATGTATACAGCCGTACTGACCTTCGTTATATTGAATTTAATACCAGCCTCACACTTTATTTTAGTCTACACAGTCTGTCCCAAAAATCTTTTGTTAAACAATGCACTAATTATTGATGCATAATATGTTGAGTTTACAGGAATATATTGTACAGGTATTAATTACCACACAGCACTGAATAATTATGTTTGAATGTGGAAAAATGCATTTTCTGCATTACACGTAAGCAAGGCAAATCCCTTTATATGTTTACTTTAATCTATTTATGCTGTTGCGTGTATAAAACTCGTACCGTGTCACAATGCAATGTTATACTGGCTAGGATCCGCAGACCATAGATGACACAATTGGCGTGCTTGGCGCCAGTGGTGGAAACTTCAATACATGTACACGTACTTGGACCGGGAGCCATATACAAATCACACTCCCCCCCCAGGACTGGTCATGCTGCTTGTTGACTTCAATTATCAATAATCGCCTTGATTGAATCATGGTTTTCCTTCCTCTACGGTTTAAAACTTTTGACGTCTCGTCCCACCTCGCGAAGACCGTCAACCTAATCTCCATTTAGGCCTACATGTTGGAAGGCCGTATATGTATGTGACACGGAGTGATGGATTACTCAGCAAGAAAGTCGGGCCGATCAAGCGGCTATCAGTTAAATGCAAAGCATCCGACTGACGACAAAATTCACCTTAGAGAGCACAATTTCATTAAGTCACAAAACACAGCAGGCCTACATGTTATCACGCATGAAAAATAAGACTTCACTGTCAACGCGTGACACTCAGACTAGGGCACGAGTAACGTTATATTAGGCGAATTTGGCACTCAGGGAAGGAAGACACACGAAGACAGCCTGAGAACCAGATGACATACCACGCACAGACCCATACATCTCGTCCGTGTTGCTTCCACAACTGTTCCATTTATCCTAGGCTGTAAAACATGGCAGGAATTTTTCAATCAGCGGCAGAGAACTTTGAAAAATTCTCCCATCACGCGAGGCTCGCATTTTGTCGATCGCGCCATATGCATCGAAAGCAATACCAGGTGAGAGGTCGGAGGTCGAGTGTTATAGACTGGTGCACCGAAGCTGGAAACTGGACTTATTACAGGTGCGTATACGTACAGTACTCGAGTCGCCTTGTCGTCAGTTGCGGAAGCATCAACACATATCAAGCGCCACTCGGGTTTGTCTGTGATTACATTCATCTCCAAGCAACGCAGGTGGGAACTGACAAAATGCAAGTCAGTGGAGACGTTTACCTGAACGCAGCCACGCTTTTGGTGGGTGTAGGAACCCTGGTTGCCTACGCACTCTACAGAAGCACCAGGCGGCCCGCAGGCTTCCCACTAGGGCCAACCGCACTACCGCTTGTCGGAAATATTCCTCGTAAGTAAGTTCTTAGTTTTTAAAGCGTCATAGTACATGTAATGATTGTAGATTGGATTTGTAAGAAGAGTTCCCAATTTCAGGATTTTCTTGATTTTAAGGACTTTTCAAACAATTTCTTAAAAAATCCGAACACTTTGTAATTACAGTATTTATCAGTAATCACTGGATAAGGTATTTTTACGTGAAAGTTGATAGGTACATGTAGCCCTTGGCCAACAACACATGAAATGGGTATTTCAAGGAGTGCCTTTAAACAGGCACAAACGTAGACCATAGATCTTCTGCTACTCTGGGGCCCTGAAAGTTAAAACCTCTTGTGATTATTTCATTTATATTTCATTTTCAGCCAGTCTCCTTTCCCCTGATGTACATGTAAGTCATTTGTGAATTTGGGGTCAAACAGGCACATAGTATCCTGACATTATAGGGCAGCGCGACATCTGGGATTCTTGCAAAATGGCAGGTACCGCGACGGTGAAAACAGCGACCATGGCGACGTACGCACGCACCATCCGTTCGTTGCAGTTATTTTCATTGGAGCGTTGTGGTTGCTACCTGCAATTTTGTGAAACTCCCAGATGTCCGCGCTGCCCCATACGTCACATGAACACCTACCATAGTAAACCCACCCTGGCTTCCCTATTGAAAATGGTCCCATAGAAAAGTGGGACCCACCCCTCGTGCTCGAAAAACAAATTGTAATCTTCAGTTAAATTTCAGTTGTCCTTTTTCCAATTTCCAGAGTTTTATTTTGCAAAATCCACCCTTCAAGTCTTCAAAGAGCTGTGGCAGAAATACGGAGCAGTGTACTCGTTGAAGTTTGCCAGCACCAATATTGTCGTTCTGAACACTATTGATGTGGTCAAAGAGGCATTTGTCAAGCAAGCCGCAGTGTTTGCTGGACGTCCTGAGTCATACTCACGTTAGTCAATTGGGGAAAAATCTATGGAGACTCCAAGTAGTAGTTTTAAATGTCTTATTCAGTAATCCACCAAAATGCAAAGACATAGAAAAGTTAAATTTGGCACATGTACATATTCTTGGATGAAAATAAAAACAATGTGGGTAGAATTTGGCAAAATTGTACATTATGCTATACTACATTGCTTACTATTTTAAATGGTGATCTTGAAGAATTGTAGGCCTAGTTTGATAATGGTTAGTGTTTGGGAGTTATCAAGGTCATTGTTTTGTATTGAACACAGAAGGTGTCAATCCCTCAAGCATTGAATTTTTTCCAATATGGAAATTACAATCTAGTTTGAGACTTTATGATATTTTATTTTACGTTTGCTTATGCAACATTGTGTGCTTTATTTCTCTGATTCTAGTTGGATTGTTCACCGAAGGATTCAAGGATATTGCCTTCTCGACCTATGGCCCTCAGTGGCGTTACCAACGCAAACTTGGCCACACTGCCATCAGGTATTACTAAGAATTTGTGAGAAATAAGGTCTCTAAGTCCGTATCTCTATAAGTTTTAATTTTTCAAAGTGGTGTAAACTTTATGTAACATAATTCACAGCTGCAGAAAAATTCACTAAAGACCGAATAAATAGTGGTATTCAAAACAAAAGCCAAATAAAAAATTACCTCATTATGGTACAAAAGGTTTTTTGAATATTTTATTCCATGACATGGTGTTGGTTTACATAATTGAGAAATGAGAATGCATGTAATAACAAGTGAATGATTATTCAATTTATAAAAGTGTAAAAGGCAAGTGAACTTTCAAATTTCGGTGAATTCTACACATAACTACATGTACCTTTTACAAAATTGGGAACACTCTTAATGGCAGGCACTTTGCACAGAAGGAGCGTTTGGAGCAACTTGTTTTCAGTGTCACCCCAGGAATTGCCAAGACTCTGGATGAAATGGGAGACAAGCCATTCGCTCCCAAATGGACGATTGGCCGGATAGTGTACAATGTCTTGGCTACCCTGTGCTTTGCCAAAACGTGAGTATAATGTATTTCTGGTAATTTACAACGTCAACAGCATAAACAGAGATCATACAATGTCATAACAGTCATATGTTACTGTCATGTGACCTTAAGCACAGCCATCAACATATGCTCATTTTTATTCTGTAAATTTTGAAGTTGCTACCAACTTAAGGTTTAAGTCTGAATCTCATCTTGGCGTTGATCAGGTACGAATTCAACGATCCACACTTACTGAACTGGATTGATCTCAACACTGAAATCACCAAAGCTTTTGGTAGTGGTCTACCTGGGGATTTCATGACCATTTTCCAGTACATCCCAACTCCTGGTGATACAAAGTTCAGGCGTCTTCTGAAGCGCTTAAGGCAAACGTACCGAGAGGAGTTTCAGAGACACCGTCAAACCTTTGACCCAGGTAAAAGTTCACCAGACCACAGGCTTGCAGTTAGCTTGTAAAGGAGTTGCTCCTTTCATTGTTTGAGTCTGGTTTTATTGTAAACAATGGATTGCTGCGTTTTAGTTTTCGTAGACAATAAATAAGTTATTTATCGTTGTACAAATAACCTGGTCACCTATCAAAATTGCTATCAAGACTTTGAGTTGGTCTGGTTTTTAACTTAAAAGAGAAATATTTTTAGGTACCAAGTCTCACTTGCAAACTGTAAACCTTTTACACTGTAATTGGTAGTATGTTCAACATTTGTGCACCTTGGTTCTCTTGGGTATTCTGCAGAATATGCACGGCTACCGGTAACATTCATTTTATGTGCCCCGACCTACGTACCATGTATAGAATGGGATTTACATAAATGCATAGTCAGGTTGGTGTAGTGGTTCTTTCCCCACCTTCCACCTCTGCAGTCCGGGTTGGATTCCCCGCTCCATCCACACTGTTAGTGGACAGGGTTTTCAGTTCCTACCTGATTCTGTGGGGTTTTTAAGTCCCGTATTCCTCAGGGGTTTTCCTCCCACTACTAAAACTGTGACTGCTTCTCATTGTCTCTTCTCTACCAGTTTCGTCAGGCGTGCAAGGAGCTACAGTGCCAAGGGTGCTTTTGAGCAATCTTTGGTGTCATTACCAAAAATAAATAATACCAATAATGATTTACGTTGTCAGCAAAGCAGAGTTTATAAATAAATGTTAAGGTTACTTGTCATACAAAGAAGCTGGTTGCATGTGCTGTCTTATATCTTCATGTTGAAACATCACCTGATGGATATTCTGTGTGTAGGCAAACCACATTTTTGGTTTCATCTGTAGAAAACATCCGTGACTTTGTGGACTCCTTACTGCTGACCCAGAAGGAGAATATTGAAGCTGGAGAGGAGGGAGCCGACCGTCTGACAGACACGCACCTGGTCCAGACGGTGTCCGACATTTTTGGAGGTACATGCTTAAATCCCTAAAAAGCTAGGTGTTTTTTTTCCGACCTCCCTTCCCCTTCAAGATTTCAGCCTGTTCATTTTGAATCTTAGAATGGTTGTAAAGGTAACCTAGTGTAGAGTTTATATTGTTAGAGTCTTTCACAATTCACTTTGTCGTACAATTTTTGGCTGACCTGCCCTTGTAAAGTTGACATTTCATGACAGTGATAAGAAGAGTATGAGCACTTTTTGATAAACTGGTGTTGAAATAGCCATAAATGCCTACAGGCTCTGAATTCTACAAAATAATGAAATTCGTTGTGATGATAATGATATCAGAGAAGGTGTCAAGGAGGCAGATTCTAACCTGCGCCCAACCCCCTTGAAATAAATCCTGATCCAGCTGTCATTTTAATAAGGAATACCGTTGAGCATATCTTAATCCATCTTTTTCCGTTTCACAGCGGGAACAGAAACCACCATTCTCACCCTACATTGGGCTGTCCTCCTCATAGCCGAGTATCCCGAAATCCAGGAAAAGGTTGCCATGGAAATTGATGAGGTCATAGGTCATGATAGAATGCCCTCACTGACCGACAGGGGCTCTGTGCCATTCACTGAAGCCACCCTCCTTGAGATTTTCCGGTTTGGTACGGTGGCACCAGTGGGCGTTCTGCATTCTGTGATGGAAGACACAACACTGTGTATGTATTGCCTATCCACTCAATGCATGAAGACCCAAACGACTATCCTGACAACATACCAGGTGTGACAATGCAAATTGTTTTACCAGGAAAAGGCACTTTTTATCTCAAATTTCTTCCTCATCCAGGTGGATACAAACTCCCTAAGGATACCACTGTGATGATCAACCATATGGCTCTTCACTTCAGCCCAGCTGAGTGGGAAGAGCCGGACAAGTTTAAACCAGGTAAGGAAACACAAGAGTAAGTCTTTGCACATGTCTTGCTCATAATTATTTTACATAAGAGCAGCAGCACCACCACACCACATTGTCACAATCACATCATTTTTGTGACTGCAATTCAAGTCTAGTCATGAGTCATTTCCCCACAAGTCAGGTTTCGAGTCGATTTTTCTTGTGTAAAGTCCTGTTTTGAGTCTTTTCGTTCCCTTACTCAAGTCCCAACATCATTCCTCCCCTTTTTCAAGTCTGTCTGGAGTCATAATTTATTATTATTTACATGGTACTTGTGTGTTTTCTCTAATGCCCTTTTTGAACATGTTACATTTTTAAATATTGTCTGATACATCTTTTCTTTCAATTTTAGAACGTTTTCTGAACGAAGACGGCCAGCTCCCTGCCAAGCTTCCAGAGAGCCTCATCCCTTTTGGGATTGGACGCCGTGTCTGCCTCGGTGAAGACTTTGCTAAGAAGGAAGTCTTTCTGCTTTTCACCTGGCTCTGTAGCCGGTACACTTTCTACAAAGTACCAGGCAAAGAGGAGGAAACCGTGCTGAGATTGAACAAGGAACTGGCACTTGCTCACCAGCTCTATGATGATATCGAGGTCTGCGTTAAAAAACGCTTCTAATTCGAATGGCCTGGTGAAAATAGGTACAGTCGTGCATTCAAGTTTGGATGGTTTTCACTGTCTGGAGTTGGGTTTTAATTACAAACCTCGCTGATAGAGTTGATAGGAATCCTCCCTCCCTTACCGTCATATTGCATATCGTGTGAAGTTGCGTTAAGCACCTGTACCACTGGTTAAGTGTCTATTAAAATAGTAGCTTGTGAGAAATAACCCTTTACCTTATAAAATTATGAAGCTTATATTTTGAATGTATCATACGTAATTATGAATACATGAATATGAGAGATATTTGTGCAGGTAGTTAGTCGAGAGATTTGAACACATAGCAAGTATTTTGCCGATACGCTCTTTCGAAATGATTACTCTGGTGAAAATGAGAAATGTGCATTTTTTAAGAAGTATACACGTAGTGTCAAAATCTTTTACTCTATCTGGGATTTGAAACGTAATGATTATCTAACCTTATCTTTGTCAGGTTTTGCCTCTGACAATGTAATTTGTACCAGTTTGTATCATTTTGATATCGTTACACGTGCATTGCAAACAGTGTAGTTACTGAGGTTACGATCAAAAGACAATGTAACCATCATTTGATTTGTAAATTCTATAAAACTTTTGTAAAATTGAACGGTGACAGAACATCAATATCATTTGCTAAGTTTAACAGATTAATTAGTGTAAATTTGTATTTTGATATATGTCTTGTAGGAATGCATGTTGTCTAATAAACTTAACTTGACAGATTACTGCCTCAAGGAATGAAGCATTTCTTTCCTAAGAAGGGTCACACAAGCTGATGCTAACATATAGGCTTTAAAATCAGTTGTATGTGTTAGAGAATGTTTTTCAGGAATGAAAGCCAACATTGCAGAGCTGTCAACATTGAGTAGTGTGTTGTGCACTTGGCTGTTGTATACAATTATAACACAATTTTTTTCGCCATGCCTAAGTATTCTACGGGAAGTCGTGTTCATTCTACAGCAACCTCCACGGTCCCCAGACCTCCAGAAGACGTAGCTGTCGACATTTTGGCCATTGCAGCCAGAGAGATTGAGCGGCAGCTGAATACGCGCGAGTCGGTCACGTCCAAGGCCCGGGGCGGATCGCCAGGAGAGTGCCCAGCTGCGCCAGTCCCGTCGTAGGTGGTAGCTCTAATAGGTCAGTCGGTCGCTGTGCCCTGGCCCAAATCAAGACCTACCGGCAATGGCAGCCTCCTCCAATCCTTCGCCGGCGTCTTCTTCTATTACTACACCAAGGCTCCAAGGTAACTCGGCTGGTTCTGTCACGCCGTCTTCGGCTGGTAACACTAATCCACCGGTTTTTCACGCTCCTTCTTGGCCTCTGGCGGCTCAGTGGGGTGCACCATATTTGTGGGGCCAAGGGGCGTGGAATTCTTTTTCCCTGTATCCTTCGACAGCATTTGGTCAGCCTGTGCCATCCTTGCCTTCAGGGCCTGTTCTTCCCTACATGTTTGATCCTTGGGGATTTCCTCTGGCTAAGCCTCCGCCTGTGGCTTCGCAAGGTGCAAACTTTAATTTTTCCGCCACTCCATCCAGCGCTTATGTCGGTACATCCAGGAACTTCGGCGTTTGTAGCAGTAACACTACTGTACCGATACAGCTGCAGCCCTTCTGACGTATAGCGGCAGTACGGTGTCGACGAGGCGTCGGCCATTACTGACATTTAAGATGTCCTCACATGCTGTGTGGCATATCAAGTGGTGTGAAGTTTCGTGACCCTTACAAGAAGGATTCAGGTATTCCTCTCTCTGGTAATGTTATTTCTTGGTGGCAGGATCTTAGATCTCATAAATTGTCTCGTGGCGGATTAAAAGACGAGCTCAGTGTTTTTGCAGTTTCAGAGGGGCAAGAACAGATATGTCGCTCCCCCTGAGCTTCCGATTGGCCTCAAGAAGGTTTCCAAACGGGCTGATTCATCTCTGGTATCTATTGATGATAAGATGAAGATTCCTCATAGTCATTTATTAAAGTTAGCTCTTCCTAGGCTCCACGGTTTACTCGGCGTCTCATCCCTGGCAGTTCGCGACTAGTACCCTCGACCTACGTATCTAGTCTTCATGTAGGCCTACCTGTAGATAATGATATATTGATTAGCCTTTTTTAAAGTAAGGGTTTTTATGTTTTTCTGTTTCTTGGGTTTTAATGAATTGTTTTTGATCTCTGTTTTCCTTTTAGCTACATGTGTTACAATTTTTATGGGGGGTCGTAATTTTTTCTGTTCTGTGAGGCATGTCAGTAGTTTTTGTTGCTCTTTTTAACGCACTTTTCGTTAGCAATAATTTGTCAAGTCTTGCTTTTGTGATGTTTTCGGTGAGTTTTTTTAGCTTTTTTTCTGCTGTTCGGTGACGCATGCCCATGACATTTTTAGTTGTTTATATTTGACATTTTTTGTTCTCAGTTCTTCTTTTTGTAATTGCAACGCTGGTTGATTGTAAAGCGCCTGGGAGCATTGATTTTAAACGGATTAGGCGGTACATAAATCGACATTATGGTGGGCTTTTCAGCCCAGCAGGTTGCCAATGCAATGTAAACTTCGTCCAACCTGGGCTAACGGAGGGCTATATGGATATATGTGTGACACCTAGTGATGCCATGGATTACACAGCGAGAAAGTTGGGCTTATCACCTTGCGCTATCAGTTTAATACAAAGCATCCAACTGACGACAAAATTCACCTTAGAGAGCTCAGTTTCATGAAGTCAGAAAACACAGAAGGCCTTCAAGTAATCACGCATGAGAAATATGATTTCCCAACCAACGCACGACACTCAGACTAGGACGAGTGTAACGTTAGGGCGAATTAGGCACTCAGACCATAGAGGAGTGAAGAGAACCAGATGATAAACCAGGCACAGGCTCATATGTCTCGTCCGTGTTATTTACACAACTGTTCCCTTTATCCTTGGATATGTCACATGGCAGTAATTTTTCAATCAGCAGCAGAGAACTTTGAAAAATTCTCCCATCACGCTTGCTCGCAGTTTGTCGCTCGCGCTACATGCATCAAAAGAGGTCAGGGGTTGGAGGTCGAGTTTTATAGACTGGTGCACGGAAATCGAAACTGGAAACTGGACTTATTACATGTGCAAGTCTGTTCATGTACTGTACACGTACATGTACATTGTTATGTACATGTACATGTCATGTGTATAGTACAGCGTAATGTTCATGTACAGTACACGGTTCATGTACATGTAATTACGTAACTATATGTACATAATGTACTCGAGTCGCCTGATGGGGCGTCGCAGTTGCGAAAGCATGATGATGCCACTACGAGTGCACTACTGGAGGTTTTGTCTGTAGGTACATTCATCTTCGAGCAACGCAGGTGCAAACTGAAAAAAATGCAAATCATTGGAGACCTTTACCTGAACGTGACCACGCTCTTGGTGGGTGTAGGAACCCTGGTTGCCTACGCACTGTACAGAAGCACCAGGCGGCCCGCAGGTTTCCCGCCCGGGCCAGCCGCACTACCGCTTGTCGGAAATATTCCTCGTAAGTTCCCACTTTTTAACACGTCATACTTGCATGTGATGATGTAGGACTAGTTAGCTTGGATTTATATCAGGAGTATTCCTGATTTGAGGATTTCACCTTCAGGATTTTCTTGATTTTCAGGATTTTTCAAACAATTTTGTTTAAATGCCAAAACTTTATAATTGCAGTATTTATCAGTAACTTGTAAGGTGTTTTTTACATGAAAGTTGATAGAGAGCCCTAGGCCAACACATGGAGTGGGGATTTCAACATGGAGGTAGGAAAAGGAGTGCCTTTAAGCAGGCACAAACATGTTGGGCCTTAAAGTTAAAACCTTTTGTGATTGTTTCATTTATAGGCGTAGTTCATTTTCGTCCAATCTCCTTTCCCCTGATGTAACTCATTTGTCACTTTGGGGTCAAACAGGCACATACACTTGGTATCCTAACATTATGGGGCAGCGCGGACATCCGGGATTCTTGCAAAATGACAAGACTGTGGCAACAGTGACGAACGCACGCACCATCCAGTCCAAGGATCAGGGTACATTGTCTTTTCTTTGATCAGACAAATGCGTACACTCGTTGCAGTTGTTTTCATCGGCGCGGTGTGGTTGCTACCTGATATTTTGTGGAACTCCTGGATGTCCGTGCTGCCCCATACATTGTGCTTCAGATGCACATCTACCCATGGTAAATCCACCCGGTACCCGGCTTTCCTTTAATGAAAATGGTAACATAAAAAAGTGGGACCCACCAGTAGTGCTCGAAAAACAAATTTTATCTTCAGTTTAATTTTCACTTATCCTTTTTTCCATTTTTAGAGTTGTATTTTGCAAAATCCCCCCTACAAGTCTTCAAAGAGCTGTGGCAGAAATACGGAGCAGTGTACTCCTTGAAGTTTGCCACCGCCAATTTCGTCGTGCTGAACACTATTGATGTGGTCAAAGAGGCATTAATCAAGAAAGCTGCGGTGTTTGCTGGACGTCCTAAGTCATACTCAAGTTAGTCCATTGGGAAAAAAGCTGTCGAAACTCCATGCAGTAGTTTTAAGTTTCTTATTTAGTTATCCACCAAAATGCAAAGACTTTGAAAAAGTTATATTTTGCACATGTACGTATTCTTCGATGAAAATAAAAACATTGTCTGTAGAATTTTCTCAAATATTGCACATTTTTCCAGGATTGCTTAGTATTCGCGTGGGAATCTTAAAGAATTGTTGGCCTAGTATGATAGTGGGTATGGGTAGTGTTTGGGAGTTAGCAAGATCATTCAACACAGAAGTTGTCAAGCCCTCAGGCGTTGATTTTTTCCATTATAGAAAGTATAATCTAGTTTGATACTTTATTTTATTTTTCCTTTGGTTATGCAACATCTTGTGCTTTATTTCTCTGATTCTAGTTGGATTGCTCACCGATGGATTCAAGGATATTGCCTTCTCAACCTATGGCCCCCAGTGGCGTTACCAACGCAAACTTGGCCACACTGCCATCAGGTATTACTAAGAATTTATGAGAAATGAGGTTTCTCAGTCCATATCTCTGTAAGTTTGAATTTTGCACAGTGGCATAAGGTTAATGTGAAGATAATGCTACTTTTTTGCAACATAATGCACAGCTGCAGAAAAGAGACCAAATAAAGTAGTGGTATTCAAAACAAAAGCCACATGAAAAATTACCTCATCATGTTACAAAAGGTTTTTGAAAATGTTATTTCATGATATGGTGGTGGTCTGCGTAATTGATAAATGAGAATGCATGTAGTTACAAGTTAATTGATCTTTGCTTCCTTTGTTAAGAAACAGATTTTCTCAAAAAGAATTACAGAAGAATGGGCCCCGATTGTTCATTTTAAGAAAGTGTAAAAGGCAAGTGAACTTTCAAATTTCGCTGAATTCTGCACATAACTTTACCTTTTTTGAAATCGGGAATACATTTAATGGCAGGCACTTTACACAGGAGGGGCGTTTCGAGCCAATTGTTTTCAGCGTCACCCCAGGAATTGCCCAAATTCTGGATGAAATGGGAGACAAGCCATTTGCTCCCAAATGGACGATTGGCCGGATAGTGTACAATGTCTTGGCTACCCTGTGCTTTGCCAAAACGTGAGTATAATGTATTTCTGGCAATTTACAACGGCAACAGCATGAACAGACAGAGATCATACAATGTCATAACAGTCATATGTTACTGTCATGTGACCTTAAGCACAGCCATCAACATATGCTCATTTTTATTCTGTACATTTTGAAGTTGCTACCAACTTAAGGTTTAAGTCTGAATCTCATCTTGGCATTGATCAGGTACGAATTCAACGATCCCGACTTACTGAACTGGATTGATCTCAACACCGAGTTCACCAAAGTTTTTGGTGGCGGTATACCTGGGGATTTCATGACCATTTTCCAGTACATCCCAACTCCGACTGATACAAAGTTCAGGCATCTCCTGAAGCGCGTAAAGCAAATGTACCAAGAGGAGTTTCAGAGACACCGTCAAACCTTCGACCCAGGTAAAGTTCACTCGATCAAAGACCACAGGTAATTGAGTTGATCATTTCATTGCTTGAGTCTGGATTTGTTTCAGGAATGGCTTGCTTCGTTATATTTTTCATAGACACTATGATGTTGGTACAAATATCCTGGTCAGCTATCAAAGTGTTGTTTTTCGTCAGAGAAAATTCCTAATCAGGCTTTGAGTTTGTCTATTCAGGCTTTGAGTTTGTCTATTTTTTACCTCAAATAAAAAGGGATTATAGACACCATGTCTCACTTGCCGGCCGTAAACATGTTAATTGGTAGCATGCTCAACATTTGTGCAAACTTGGTTTTCTTGGGTATTCTGCAGAATATGCACATTTGCTGGTAACATTCATTTCATGTGCCCCGACCTATGTACTATGTACAGAATTGGGTTTACGTGAATGCATAGTCGGGTTGGCGTAGTGATTCTTTCCTCACCTTCCACCTCTGTGGTACGGGTTCGATTCCCAGCTCCATCCACAGGTGGCTTGAATGTTCAGTCCCTATTGTACTTGCTTCTCATTTTTTCTACAGATTTATGCCAGCTTGCCAGGTACAGTGCCTAGGATGCATTTGAGGAATCCTTGGTGTCATTACCACAAATCAATCATAATAATTTTATGATGTCATCAGAGTAGAGTGTACGTAAATGTTCAGGTTGCATGCACTTGCCAAACTAAGAAGCTGGTTGCATGTTCTGTCTTATCTCTTCATGTTTTAAACATCACCTTATGGATATTGTGTGTGTAAGCAAACCACTTTTTTTTCATCTGTAGAAAACATCCGTGACTTTGTGGACTCCTTACTGCTGACCCAGAAGGAGAACATTGAAGCAGGAGAGGAGGGAGCCGACTGTCTGACAGACACGCACCTGGTCCAGACGGTGATGGACATTTTTGGAGGTACATGCTTAAATCCACGAAGAGCCAGGTTTTTTATTACAACCCCCCCGTCCCCTTCAAGATTTCAGACTGTTCATTTGGAATCTTAGAATGGTTGTAAAGGCAACCATCATGAGTGTATATGTGAAGTTGCAGTTCAACCTAGTGTAAAGTGTATGTTGTGAGAGTCTTTATAATTCACATTGTCATACAATTTTTGGCTGACCTGTCCTTGTAAAGTTGACATTTCATGACAATGATGAGAATAGTACATGTATGTGCAATTTCTCATAAACGTAGTGTTGAAATGACCATAAGACATCATTAAAAAAGCGCCCAGAGTCTCTGCATGAAACACAATAATAACATTCATTCCAATGATATCAGAGACAGTGACAAGGAGCCAGATTCTCACCTGGTCCCAACTCCCTTGATATAAATCCTGATCCAGTTGTCATTCATCTATTTAATAAGGAATCCGGTTGGGCATATCTTAATCTATCTTTTTCAATCTCATAGCGGGAACAGACACCACTATTATCACCCTCCACTGGGCTGTCCTCCTCATGACTGAGTATCCCGAACTCCAGGAAAAGGTTGCTATGGAAATTGATGAGGTCATAGGTCATGACAGGATGCCCTCATTGACCGATAGGGGCTCTTTGCCGTTTACTGAAGCCACCCTTCTGGAGATATTTCGGTATGGCCCCGTGGCACCACTTGGCGTTCCGCATTCTGTGATGGAAGACACAACACTGTGTATGTATTGCCTATTCACTCAATGCATGAAGAGCCAAACGACTATCAAGACAATTCATATTGATACCATGAAACCCCTCTTCCGTGGTTCCTGGTCATGTCACTGGCAAGAAACTCCAATTAGAAAAGTCAAGAACAATTCCCAACAAACCACTTGAAAACTCGCACTCCAAGCCCAAACTACAGTCAAGTACTTGACCGTTAAAAGCAGGCTGCCGTGATCCTTCTGAAGTCTTTTTCTTCCTCATCCAGGTGGATACAAACTCCCAAAGAAAACCACTGTGATGATCAACCATATGGCTCTTCACTTCAGCCCAGCTGAGTGGGAAGAGCCGGACAAGTTTAAACCAGGTAAGGTAACACAAGAGTAAGTCTTTGCACATGTCTTGCTCATAATTATTTTACATAAGAGCAGCAGCACCACCACACCACATTGTCACAATCACATCATTTTTTGTGACTGCAATTCAAGTCTAGTCATGAGCATTTCCTCACAAGTCAGGTTTCGAGTCGATTTTTCTTGTGTCGAGTCCTGTTTTGAGTCTTTTCGTTCCCTTACTCAAGTCACAACATCATTCCTCCCCTTTTTCAAGTCTGTCTGGAGTCATAATTTACATGGTACTTGTGTGTTTGCTCTAATGCCCTTTTTGAACCTGTTACATTTTTAAATATTGTGTGATACATCTTTTCTTTCAATTTTAGAACGTTTTCTGAACGAAGACGGCCAGCTCCCTGCCAAGCTTCCAGAGAGCCTCCTCCCTTTTGGGACTGGACGCCGTGTCTGCCTCGGCGAGGACTTCGCTAAGAAGGAAGTCTTTCTGCTCTTCACCTGGCTCTTCAGCCGGTACACTTTCTACAAAGTACCAGGCAAAGAGGAGGAAACCGTGCTGAGATTGAACAAGGAACTGGCGTTTGCTTACCAGCTCTATGATGATATCGAGGTCTGCGTTAAAAAACGCCTCTAGTATAAATCGCCTTGAGAAAATAGGTACAGTCGTGCATTGTATCAAAAGTTTAGATGGTTTTCACAGTCTTGAGTTGGATTTCTATTGTAAACCTTGACGATAGAGTTAATGTTAGGCATCCTGCCTTACTGTCAGCTGCATACCACGTAAAGTTGCGTTTAGCACCTCTCAGTGTGTTGATAAAGTGTCGTTGGTATCCCCATTAAACTCTAATGCGAACACTCTTGAGTGAAATATCTAGAGATCTGACTACAAATGTTCCCTATTCAGAAATATGATTAATCTGGATTAATGATTGAAGTCTTTGTGAATCAGGAGTAACTTTTTAAATGACGCTGTTATTTTTTATGCCCTTTGAAAGGCAGTTTTACAATGTACCACTGGTTAAGTGCCTATTAAAATAGTAGCTTGTGAGAAATAACCATTTACCTAATAAAATTATGAAGCTTATATTTTGATTATATTATACATAATGTATGAATATATGAGATATACATGTATTTATGCAGGTAGTTAGTCGAGAGATTCAAACACATAGCAAGTATTTCGCTGATTCTGTCTTTCGAAATGATTACTCTGGTGAAAATAAGAAATATGCATCTGATCCAAGAAGTATAGTGTCAAAATTCTGTACTCTGTGATTTGAAACGTAATAATTATCTGACCTTATCTTTGTCAAGTTTTGCCTCTCTGACAATGTAATCATTTTTACCAGTTTGTATCATTTTTATATCGTATATTTTTACACGTGCATTGCAAACAGTGTAGTTACTGAAGTTTGTTGTTGGTTACGATCAAAAGACAATGTAACCATTTGATTTGTAAACTGTTCAAACATTTTTGTTAAATTGTATGGTGACAGAACATCGATATCCTGTAAGTTTAACTGTTTGATTGGTGTAAATGTATATGTTGATAGATGACTTACAGAAATCTATTTTGTCTAATTGTAAAGGTAAAACTTAACTGAACGACAGATGTCTCTAGGAATGAAGCATTTCTTTCCTCAGAAGGCTCACATAAGCTGATGTTAACATAATAAACGTTAAAATCAATTGTATTCGTAAGAGTATGTTATTCAGGAATTAAAGCCAGCGACGCAGAACTGCCAACATTGAGTATGTGTTGAGCACATAGCCATTGTATACGATTGGAAGATGAAGTTTGAGTTTCAGACACCCTCATATTAAGTAAACACGAGTAGATCCAGTCGGAAAGGCGATGGGCGTCATGGCTCCTCTGAAAGGGAACAAGCATTTTTATTTTTTAAAGGAGAAAGTCTTTAAGCCCTAATTTTATCTTTTTCATTTCCCTTCCAAAAGCCTGTAAGAAGCCCCCAAATGTAGCCTCGCTACTGAAACGCCATAAGAGTTTTTTTTAAAAAGTTGAAACACGTAGAGTGCCTTCTACATCAATTGGTATCATCCCTTTAGCTAAATTTGGCGTTCTTTGCTAACGCTACTAAAGCATTCACTTGAGAAAGTAAGCCACAGGGAGTTTTTGTTTGTTTTTTGTTGTCTTTCCATGGCATCTGTGTCAAAAATACGGCCACTGTTATTGGCAACATTCACAAGTAAACAACTGCTCTGTTATACAAAACTTCTAAACGCTGCACAGTGTAAAAGTTAACCCTTTAACCCTCCTCAATCCTCCAACAGGTGAAGGATTGAGGAGGGTTAGGGTTAAGCCCATCATGGAGCTTGGCCAAACCTTTTCTATACGAACGAAACAAAGGAGCCCCGCTTACGTAGTCTGTTTATAGAAGCTGATACTCTGAAACGTACTTTAAATTTCAACGCAACATGGAACTGGGTCACGGACAAATTTGCGTGCAGTTATCCGTGACGTAACATGTACATGCACGTGCATCTGTGACGTACATGTACATGCACGTGCATCTGTGACGTATATGTATGTAGCTGCACATTGTTATGCTTGCCCTTGTTGAAGAATTCGAAGGGAAGTGTTTAACTTGGTCATTCGTGCCCCTCCCCTCCGGCGAAACGATTTTCAAAGTGGGGGGGAACCAGTTGTTAGACCAGGCCTATAAGTATAATTAAAAGTATTTGAGAAAAAAGCTATTAAATAGGCCGATCCATTTAGCCCCATTCTATAAGGCCCTGCAAAAAGTGCGGGGGAGCCATTCCCCCAGCCGAAAAAGCGGGGACGTACCACAGTCCCCCTACCCCCCTGCTTCCGTCACCAGTGCCTCCCCTTCACTGTGCACCGTACCGCCGCGCCCAAAGGTTGGTTGTCTGATTTTTGTAACCACGACTGACCTCTTGACCAAGGTGAATCTGTATTGTTGGGCTGTCTGCACAATTGGCCGTCAGCTGCCACCATACACTAGGCGCACCAAGTGTGGCGTGCATAATAATATATTGGTTGACCTTGCGACAGAAGCAGCAATAAAATGGCTGCTTTTGACGTTGTTGGAGATGTTTACCTGAATGTGACCACATTGTTGGTGGCCATAGGAACGCTGGCTCTCTATGCCCTGTACAGAAGCACCAAGCGGCCCGCAGGCTTCCCGCCCGGGCCAACTGCACTACCGCTTGTGGGAAACATTTCCCGTGAGTACTGACTGAACGTAAAAGTCCAACTTCCAATTAATGCTTGCTAAGTATCGTGCTTGATAGGATCACACACTTGGCCAAGTTCAATTGCCACCTAAGGGAATGTGACTTCTTGCAGTTGTAGGCCTGTATGACTTAGCGTGGTCACGGGGTTGTGGTTTAGTCGGTCACTCAAAAGCCAAAATCAAGCAAAGTCATGATAATATAGAGGAATCTCGAGATATAAAATATAGTTTGCTATTGTGTGTTCACTGAACCATAGAGGTAGGAATATTTTAAAATATAAATGGCAACTGCTACAATTATGTGGACGCTGTGAACTGTATCATAAAGCAAAGAATAGAGACTAGACTGTTGGGATTGTGAGCACGTACAGTGTACGGGAGTCGAACCTCAGAGGTCCTTTGGACTTGGCAGATATGAGGAATGAAACAATAAGAGCTGAGCCGCAAGGATTGGTGCTGAAGCATGATGTTTTGATCACAATAACCTACAGTGCAAAAAAACAGAGCTTGGGTTAGAAATGGATGCAGATTACATGTTGATCATGCGACTTAAATTTTGAGAGATTTGTAATTCTGAGGGGCATTATCATCAAACAAACATTGAAAGTGTGTTTTACCATGCATCTGTGTCAATTTCCACATTCTTAGATTATCGTCAGTCTACCTGGCCTTACGTAATTAAATGTGAGTCAGGGAATTCCACTTTGTTTCTTGTTTTACTTTTTTACATTTTTGCTTTCTTTCTTTTAGTATTTTTGACCAAGAAGGCTCCCCAGAAAGTGTTTCAAGATCTCTCGAAGAAATATGGCAGCGTTTATTCCCTTACGTTGATCAATGAGAACGCGATCGTTCTTAGCAGCATAGACATTGTCAAGGAGGCTCTTCTCACAAAGGGTGTGGAGTTCGCCGGTCGTCCATGGATATACTCAAGTAATGCTGTCACATAGGAAGACCTCATTCACGGTTTATTATCTGTGACTCTGCCTATGTAACAGAATGAGTCAAAAGTCGCTGTAGAGGCATTTTCGAGTTCGAGGCCTTAAGAAGAACCTTACACAATGTACACGTGTGCGAATCACAAGGAGCCCTCAACTAGCTTAATCGGAATGCCATTGGAAATGGGCGATAAACAAAAAAGAGATTTTACTTTCTCTTTCACAATAAATTACTGAAGAAAGGCCGTTTGACTGATTTAATATATATGTTGGGTTACATTTCTAAATTTGCTTTATTCAGGTGGAACTCACAGCTAGGAATCGAATGCATGTGCTATTTTCAAACCTTCTATACACAGATACATAATGGTAGAAACAAAGAAACAAAAAGTGCTTACAAATGATTAATAACAAGGATGATGCATTCAGACAGTGCGTGAATCACATTAAAAGGATATTAAATCAAAATGAAATTCGGTTTTGAGTATCCGCCATCTAAAATTCTTCTTTGAAATGTTAGGTGACTTATTCACCGAGGGATTTAAGAATATCGCCTCACCCAATTATGGACCGCAGTGGCGATATCAACGCAAACTTGGTCATACTGCAGTAAGGTAAGTCAGTTCACTTGTTTACATCTGTCATATCTAAAACAATTTCACTTTTTACTTGGTCAAAGCCAGGTGAGGAGTGCAGAGAGTGAAATAAACCTTGTACCCTGATTTTCTCGATAAAGGTGGCTGTCACTTCAGACACAACAGTTCATCTTGCAATAAAAGTGCATCTAACCAAACTTAGTGCTAAGGATGTGCTATTCTTCATCTCTAATTTCTAGCCGTAGGTGCACCTTCATTTGCATGAGTACCAATTAATTACACCAGTTGAATACTAATTCACACCAAAAGAATGACTTCCAACTCAACCTTGACGTGGTCAATGGTTGGATTTGGACAGACAGTTTTCCTGCTGAGAAACGTACTTGTTGAGTGATGAGCACATTGTAGGTACATGTAGTTACAACGAAGAGCATTGTACCAATGCTTTCATGATCAGGCATTTCGCACAGAAGGAGCAGTTGGAGAAGCTTGTGTTTGACACCATCCCTCAAATCTCCAAATATCTTGACGACCTGGGAGATAAGCCATTTGCTCCTAAATGGATAATGGGCCAAATCGTCTTCACTGTCATAGCCAACTTGTGCTTCGGGAAGCAGTGAGTATAGGTTAAAACTACAGTATTAATAACAACCATGCACTAAGCACAATATGTTTAAAGTGACTAGGATAGGACTAGTTATCGTTTGAATTTAAGGAGTTTTTCTAACTTGTATAAAGCAGCTGGTTCAGAAAATAATCAGCTTTGTGTTCAAGATAAACAGATGATCAAGATTTCGTAAATGCACCATGGTTTGACATGTTTGACAAAAGAATAATCCATTTTCCAAATATGGGACTCGTTCAATGAATCTATTTGCTCAAAAATGAGCAAGATTAATGTTCGTTTCACAATACTGTTTACGTACAATCTTTCCAGTAATCCTTAAGTTATTACGTTACTTCAAATTAATGCAAGTAGTATGGAAAGCTGTTAAGCAGCTGAAACTTAAACAACAAAAAAGAAGTTAAACCAAACAATAGAACTTCATTGCTTCCATTCCTGTACATCTCAACAGGTACCAGTTCAATGAACCAGAACTCATGAAATGGATTGACGCCTACACTAATGTGATTCAGTGTCTGATTGATGGTCTACCAGCCGATTACATACCCCTCTTTCGGTACATCCCAACCCCAAAGGAGACCAAATTCAAGAAATTCCTGAAAATATTCCATGACAAGTTTTATCATGAGTTCAACAAACATCGTCACAGCTTCGATCCAGGTGAGTGGTGAAGACAAACCTGCTAGGATTCTGAGGAACTGACATAGTAAAGGAGGTAGACATCTACCTCTTTGTTCCTAAAACAGACCAGGAGGTGTTTGAGAAGATTCTATGTGGTTCAGGAAGGTAGACTAGATCTTCTCCATTTTGCAAGGGACATGAGACAACTTGAATGTTTGAGAGTAAAGAATGTTCACTGGCTTCAGTGGGTTAAAGAATGTTCCTAGAAAATTAACCTGTAACAGTTTTAATGTTTTTGCCCCTGCCGAAATATCTGTGTGTGCGAAATGATACCGCTTTTTTGGCCTAACACAGTGAAATAAAGGTAGTAACAACCAGCTTTCTTTTGCATAAATAGAGTGCATAAATGATTTCTTGGACTCGTTGCTGCGCACCCAGAAGGAGAATATTGAAGCGGGAGAGGAGGGAGCTGACCGTCTGACAGACACTCACCTCGTCCAGACAGTGGTAGATACTGTTGTGGGTAGGTAAAGAAGGCACCGTGAAGAAGATGATGTATACGTAAAGCTGTGCCGTTCATAAATCCCTCAAATAGGGAGACAAGTTTGGTAAAGTTTTTTGCAACAGTTTCTTTAGTTTTACTTTAGTTTTACTTTAGTTAAACTAGCTAAGATTGCAACACACCATTTAATTAACTTGTATTTGAGAAAATTCACGTAAAGCTTTACAGATATTTGATAAAAACTGTCACTAAACACCAAATTAAAAGTCTGATTATATATGGTCAAGTTATTTGTTCAATCGCTTAGACTTTACGTTGAATTTTCATCATAATATTTTTTAGCTATTTTGTTTCCCCGAGAGAACGCTTGTACCATATCCACAAAATGTTCCCAATGTCACAGGTCAGTCTGCACTATCATGGAAAGACCCATGTGACTTTGCAGTTAATTAATAGTGTCATGTCAAGTGTCATTCCTCTTAAAAAGAGCCGTGGGTCTGTTTTTCCTTTATTTTAGCGGCAACAGAGACAACAACGGTAAGTTTACACTGGGCTGTCGCTCTAATGGCAGAGCACCCCAGCATTCAGGAAAAGATTGCCATGGAAATTGATGAGGTCGTAGGCCGGGATCGCATGCCGTCGCTGGATGACATGGGTTCACTGCCTTTCACTGAAGCCACCATCCTGGAGATTCTGCGCTATGGTTCAGTAATTCCCTTTGGTGTTCCACATCGTGTGATGGCTGACACAACTTTGGGTAAGTGTCCCCTCTCTATTTAAGTGTTCTCATTCCGGTTGTATTTCAACCAGTTTAAAAAGATGAGGTCTAACATTTGTTATAATTTGTCCATTTGGATTTTTTAAAGACAATGAAGGACAATGGCTTACTTGACGAGAAAAACAGACTAGAGGAGACAGAAACAAAAGGCGGTCTCATTTGCGCAAGTCTGTCCTCTGGTGTATGAAACTTTGCTTATATGGGAGAGTGCTATTTTACGGACCAACGTAATACATTATAGACATACTTCTTCTTCAGGTGGATACAACATTCCAAAGGGAACAACGGTGTTGATCAATCTTTTTGCTTTGCACTACGACCGCAGTCAATGGGTTGAGCCAGAGATATTCCAACCAAAACGTTTTCTGGATAGCAATGGGCGGCTGGCCTCTCAACTCCCAAACAGCTTCTTACCCTTCTCCTGCGGACGCCGCGTCTGCCTCGGTAAGGACTTCGCCCAGAAGGAAATCTTCTTGCTTTTCACGTGGCTGCTGAGCCGTTACACGATCTACAAGGTACCGGGCAAGGAAGGGGAGTCCTTGCTGACGGTGAAAGAGTCGGCAGCCTTTGCTCACCAACCCTACGACGAGATTGAAGTCTGCGTGAAGAGACGCTTCTAGGCTCAATGATTGAGGGCCATGTTAAGAGTGATACCCATGTCGTGTCAGTCCTGTACCTTTTGTAGGGTTTGGCAAGAGTTTATATGTTAGGAAGGCTGTACGAGTTAGTCTTCATGCAGTGCAGTTTTATTCTGATATAAGGTGGATTTACTGAATGTAGGTGTAGATAATGGGGAAGAAAGGAAATCGTCAAAACAATGGTGAAATATTTTTATAAGAAATATATTTTTTAGTTTTTGGAAGACTGGAGTGCGTCCAAATTATATAGAAATATTGTTTTAAAGGTTTACCTTAAAAGAGGATATTTTCAAAGTACATGTAGGGCCTATGAGAAATAAAGATTTTTACCACGTAGACCCCGAATTGTCAAAATGTAAAGGATGTCTGTTATTGAAAGATGAACCCAGTGCACGGTTATTTGCCTGTGTGTCCGTTTAACATTCTACCTGTGTGTCAGTGCAGTGTTCTTCGTCTCCAGTTAGTTAACCACACCGCACTGTCAATGGCAGTCTGCATGGAAGCCACAACCTCATCGGGTGAAGTAGATATCTTGTCAAAGAAGTAGGGGATATTTATAATACTCGGACTCAACTGCAAGATGGAAACTGATTTTTCGCCTATATGTGTTTACTTTCTGGGGAAGTGAGAATCTTCTTCCCCAATACATGTGCCACATCTTATTCCTTGAATGGGTGGCATCAAGTAAAGATAGACACATCCATTTTGTCTTTTTCTGTACATTGTGACTTAATTTGGGTTTTGTATTGTAATGATGTATATATTTTGTACTGCTTGTTCTTATTTCAACGAAGTAACTTCCAAGAAAGCTCAGGATACAAAATATTTCTTCCTTGCATTTCAGCTGTGCTGGTTGATTGCAGTTTTCAGTTTGCAGTGATGCAGAACTATTGAATACATTCACCTGATTTTTCTTGTCCTGTCTTTCTTCTTGATTTTCTTGCCGGTAACCCTGAACACTTGTTGTTCAACGTTTGCTATGTGCCACCTTTTTCTGTTTCTGCAGTTGTGATCTGTTTTAGTCAAACCTCACTTGATAATAAGTCGTTACACAATCGCATGCTACCCGTTGACTTGGTCGAAATTAACATCGCTCCGCCGAGTACATGTAATTTATTTTAAAAGGAGTGATAAGTCTTCCACTTTCTTACTGAATGGCTTGTCCAACAAAAAGTGATGCAATACAAAAGGCGGTGCAAAACATAATGTGCCCCTCGTTTTTTTTCCTCTCCCGAATCTCATCTCTCTAGTTTTGGCTCAAGCCTTACCACACTTAAAAGACTACCATCTAAGTCAAATTCACCACTAGTTCATGTTGTATTCCATTTGACCATACTTTATATTCTTATAAACATAGTAAACAGAAACATAAATAAACATATTAGTTTTTTTTGTTTAAATCTTCGGTCCATCGACATTGGTTATCACATGTACACGAGTGTTTCCAGTAAGAAGATACAGATGCATAATTAATACGCATACCAGTGATTCCCATGATAAAAATAAGATAATCGATTTTTCACATAAACAAAAGTAAACACTCCAGATGTTATCTTGAATTGACATAATGTATATCCAGTGCTTTAAGCTGTGTGAACGAGCGTGCTTGTAAATTCGTTAAACATAGTAATCAACAACCGAACTTACAAATCACAAAAAGTGTAAACATATATCAAGCAGAATTAGATTACAAGCCATATTACACATCACAGAACGAAGCAAAAACTCGGCCATTTTATTTTAATGCAGAAAGAAGATCGAAACGTCTGCATGATCTCACTGAGTGGTGCCCTGGAATGATATTACTGCACACTATTATCGGTGATACACTATATAAGATGTGAAGTTAAATGCACATGTAGACAACATTCATTTTGGAGTACACAAGAAAGCAACAGCGATTGAAAATTGGAAATACAAGGGGAGGGAACGCAATGAAAATAATATTTAAAGGACGCACAGTGGCCTCCATTGACATATGTCGTGCAAGTCTCCCTTGAAAAGTGCACAGATACATTGTTCAGTCATTGAGACCAAAGATCGTATCGCGCGTAGCGCGCGGCGCAAGATGGGGAACTTCAACATGAATACGCGTAAAACGTTGTTATCACATGGGCGCCATTCTGGTTGGACTACGCCTGCGCAGTGCATGTTAATGTACGTGCGCGTAGGCGCCGCGACAGGCACGCACACACACTAACGTTCACACTCAAATTGCGCCCATGGTGATAACACCCTTGTGGCAGAATTACCCATCTTGCGCCGCTATGCAGCTCTATATAATCTTTGATTGAGACTATAGTTTTATTGTCGTTAAGTGCCATCTGTGTTTGTGGTACTGTGCCTCTTGCAGTGGTGATGGTGTGGTTCCTTACGGTCAGACGGACTATAATACATATACACAGCGACTATTCTCGCCCTACAGTTTTCTGCTGTCAGATGTAGGCTGAGAAGTCGCTTGCACCTTATAAATCTGCCAGGAGACCAGCAAGAGTGTGCCGTTTCTGCCGGAAGTAAAAAAAAAATAAGGCATTGCCCAAATTATTAGAAATGTCATGCTCTCGGCATAACTTTTGTTGGTAATTTTTTCCCGGCAGCGTTTTTTATCAAAGAGAAGTTGAGAGCAGATTCTGAGGAAAAAATTCATGTTTAAAGAATTATAATACTCAAATATCAACATCACTCTTGCTGTAAATGCTCAATATTGGATCCCTTTCATTGCAGACCTGCCAAAATACCCCGCTAGACATTGAGCTGCCCAAGGAAACTTCTAGAAACAAACTTGAATGTTTTTCATCGTGTACCTGTTGAAGCTCATCTTGGAGCTCGCTGAGCCTGGTCTTGTCTCGATAACTCGATGATACTGACTTGGTACCCATCGACACGCTGGATGCTTCCATCAAACTGATGCGAAGTTGATTTCCGCGGGTGGAGTAGCACAGAGCAAACTGCAATGATTGGTACAACAGCCCAGGGACAAAGTGATAACACGCCAGATACCCTTTGCTTTGTAGTGTAACAGTATACCTGAACTCCACCTGCTGGCATACCGCACACACTCCACAAATTCTTTTAATACCTTTTTGGTGGGGCGCAATCTGCAGGTATATAAGACTGCTGCGCGCATTGGGGCATTGGTCATTCTTCCAGCTTCTTTATTTTTGTCGCCACCTTTACATTTGGGTTTCTTTGCCTTAGCCACGCCCTCTCCTCCAGCTCCACACCTGCACTGGTCTTATTACTTGTAAGTGATACCCAATATTGTAATTTATCTAGGCCTACATTTCTTAATTTGCCTTTTTCATATCTTTGTAAATACTCGTTTGCTTTGTGTGATTTCGAAACTAAATTCGGGAGGCGCCCCTGAAGTCTGTCTTGTTGCGTGTTTTGGGGGGTTGTCAATTTGTATTCATTTTCTTACGCACCGGCCTGCTTGGCTCGTTACAGTAGTTTCCATATCGATGTAAAAGTCGCAAACAGCATCGCCGAACGATGTCCGTTGACACGTCATAATTATACCGAAACAGGTTGCACAGGCAAACAAAGTAAACAAATTGGTATCAAGTTCGACTTTGCCTACTGTCTGCGCCGAGTTGTAAGAGTAGGCCCACTACTACATGACGACTATGGCATGTATAAACCCCACCACGAATTTCACCCATTTTCTCGTTATGTCTGAGACCCTGATTGAAACCCCAACAAATTTGCTGACCGTGACGAAGTACCTTTATAACTTTAGTGTTTGTCGAATGCAACCATAAATGTTGCCTGCCCTAAAATGGCAGTCAATGTTTTTAAATAAGAGAAAAGTGAATACATGTACTACACAAACACCCCCTTCCTAGTATCCGATACTATCACCCCTTCCCCTTTTTACCTTGGGAGCAAAGACCAAGCACAAGACGGCAGTGTTAGCAAAGACGATTGCGAAACCCAAGATGCAGAAATGCACATCGACATTGTTGACGAAGACTTGAAGAGCGGGGACAGCTAGAACAATGGTGATCCCGACGATGTAAACGGACAAAGCTAGATATTTACCTGCATAGAAAACAAACTGGCAGAGCTCGGTACATTGTACATGTTGCTGATTGGTAGTTTAAGCGTATGCGCTTTGTTTTTTTCCCCCAGAAGATTGAGAATCGCGTCTTCCGACAAGAATACATACATGTAATTTTTAATCTTATTGGAAAATATGAAATCAATTAGAATTTTGTATTCCCTGTTGAACTCTTACTTTGTTGTCTCTGTCGGTGTCATCGTC